GAGAAATCATCGTTTCGTACCGGACATCGTCGTTTCGTACCGAGAAATCATCGTTTCGTGCCGAGACATCATCGTTTCGTGCCGGGAAATCAAAAAAAGAGAGGAAAAAGAGGAGAAATCATCGTTTCGTACCGGACATCGTCGTTTCGTACCGAGAAATCATCGTTTCGTGCCGAGACATCATCGTTTCGTATCGGGAAACAGAACACTATGCACCTGTCATATTTTTCCCACAACACTGATGTCTAGTAAATCTCTACGCCAGTTTAAGACTTAATCGTGGTTACCATGTCTAATTCTTATCGTGGTTACTAAGTTTTTCTATCGTGGTTACTATGACTAGTGCTTAACGCGGTTACTACGTAGTCTCTTCGTTGACAACCAGTGTCCAAAGTTGCACATCCAGAATCATTACATGTTTGCACATGAAAACAATGAAAAATTGACGGCCGCTCCTTGTAACACCACTCAGATTCGCCAAGTCGGCACATCGAGTCCTGATGCTCGTGAGGAACCTGGGCACCTTCGTCAGAGAACGTGGAAGGCTGTTGTTCCTGTTCAGAAGTGCCAGCTGACTCTAAGTAGAAAAACTCACTCTCAGCGAGGGGAAAATTCTCTTCCAAGAAGTTCATCTCCTTGGACTTGGGCTTCAAAGGATCGCCTTTGGAGTGATCGCCGGGCTTCTTCGACTTGGTGGGGCACTCACGGGCCCAATGGCCTGTCAGGCCACATGCATTGCAACGAGTTCGTTTCTTCAGCTCAGAAATTGAAACCTCATAGGTGCCAGGACGCAAAATGCCATCCCTGCCGGCTCCAAAGCCTCTTGCTTTCATGGCTTTCATGGCTCCAGAGTATGATCTGCCCTTGGAGCGGTGATCTTTGACCATAGTCATGAGGATCTCCTTGGTCTCTGACTCCGTGAGGATAACCGGGTCATTCTCAGGGGCGTTCTCGGTGTCCTCCAAATCAGCAAGAGTTGCTAGAAGTAGCTCTGCAGGCTCATCTTCCGATTCATTCTCGGTCTCTGGAACGTCGACATACTGAATCTCCTTGGCGGTCTCCTTGTCCAGAAGATAGGTGTTGGTCTTCTTCTTGTCGTTGCCAAGGTTCGACAGGTCCAAGTCAGTCTCATGGATCCGAAGCCATTCCTTGACGTCCGAGACCTTCAAGGAGCCCTTCGTAAAGTTGAGAAGCAACTTCGTCTTCTCGGAGTCCAACTGCAGCGCATTCACCATGAGGAAGCCCAGGAAATCTGCAGGCAGCTTGACATCATGCTCCCTCACCTTGCGCTCTGCTGTGTCCCACCGCGTCATGAACTGACGCGCCGCTTCACCACGCTGTCGCTTCAAGTGGAAGGTCAAACGGGCACAGGTTGCTAACATGGATTCCCTTTTCTCTTCCCCATAGTATTCTTTGGTGTCCATAAGTTCCAACAGTTTGTTTCCATTGTTGGGGTCATCTAACCAATCCTCATCACTGGCCAGAAACTTCAGGTCTCCCCAAGGCCCTTTTGACAAATTCTTCAACAGTAACTGACCCCGAGCCCTAGCAGGAGTCCTTGTAGTCCGGAGCCAAATGCGAGCTTTCAGCTTGTAGTCCTTGAACTCCGTGGTGATGCCATCCCACTCCGGCGGAGGACCAGCCGTAGTTCGCTCATGTTCATCTCGAGCGGCTTGTAGTAGGGCTCCGTCAGAACCTCCTTGATGTCCAGCAAAAAGGCCTGGTAGTCCGGCTCCTGGACGCGAACGCCATTGAAGGAACTGCAAGAACTCTGATTCTAGTCCAGGTGCCCGACCATCATGACCTCGATCACGGGCAGCAGACCAAGGGTCCTGTCGTTCCCATGGGTCACGACCAAGCGACGAATCTGACCGTCGTCCAGCCGATCTACGTCCTGCTGACCCAGGTGTCGGTGGGTCACGACCTCCAGCACTAGGTCCATCTCCATTGGGTTCTTCTGAACTCTCATCCCTCGGCAAGGGGACCTCTTCCGCCATGTGACAGCACCGAGGCAAGAAATTCCCTGGATCGTTGCCAGAGCTCCGCTACCACTGCGTGATGCAGTGGCAGCGGGCTCAGCAGATCACTCCTATTTTCTACCTGTGGCGCAAGTGCCATTCGGCGATCCCCAGCTTGAGCCACCACATGGTGACAGGAAGTTTGATCAATGACCTATGCCCAATTCGCAATACAATATTATACATGATGTTTCAATACAACCAAAATCATACCAAAAAGCATGCATGCAATGTCTGTTTATCATCATCATCATCATCACC